TAATAAAGATTGACATGAAGATCGATGATCTTATTTTCTGTATGTGGAAAACGATGAAACATGTGCTTAAGCACCTTAAATCACTTCTTATTTATATTATATACATATTATTAATATTTTATTATATATATATATATTATATTATATTATATATATATATATATATTATTATTATTTATTTATATTATATATATATTATTATATTTTTATTTATATATTATATATGTTATTGTATTTTTATTTATATTATATATATAGTATATTATGCTTAGTGATTTTCTTGCAACTTAAATGATCACTAGTTTTGAAACAGCAACAGGTTGTACATTTAAGCACTAGAACACCACAAGCAGAACAATGATATTAATCTCTCCACCTCTTGATATTTCAGTTAAAATAATTTAGAACATTTGAGTTTGCAAATTCAAGTGTAGTTAAATGTAGTTTAATTCTGTAGAAAAAGTCTCAGTCAAGCAAGTGTTGTTTTTCATAAGCTCAATCCTATCAACTCGTAATAACTTGGTAAAGTTGATGGTGCAGATAGAGGCTTGCAGATATGGTCAAATTCAATTATTTCCCTTTTTTATTTATGGTTGACTCACGTTTCATCAAACTAATACAAATAAAATGGCTGCTATATGTCCCTCACAGTTTTAGAAATTTTGCACATCTTAGCACAATGGATGATAGATAGATGTGAGTGGTGATGCAGCCAAGCGGAAAAGAAGAAAATGTGCTAAAGATCAAAAAGATTTTTGCTTCAACTGAAATCTTTTTCAAGGATTGGACAAAAGGTATCTGCATTGCAGCATTGTGTGCAAGATCATGAAATGAATTACTTTTGAAATGATGCCCTTTAAATTGATATATTGTAAATGCTGTTAAAAGTTCTGTAAGGTGTCCAATATCAAAAATGATCCAAAATTTGGACTTCTAAATCACTAGTGATCTTCCCCCCCCCAACAATTATTTTTTTTTTAATGCTTAATGCTTGCAGATTTGATATTTTATCATAATAAAGCATGGAGAGTCCCAGTTCTTAATTTCACTTTGGGACTAAAGTTAACCTGGTGAATTTTTATTCATTATTTTGTGCTTCCATTGGCAAATAATTATTAACACTCTGTAACCTAAGAAATGACTCGCACAGTGATGCCTAAACTTTTTTTTTTTTTTTTAAATATTAGTATTTGAGTATTGTAACTTTTTATGTTGACATTACACTTGGCAATGATTGCAGACACAGCTAACTCTGCTGTGAAGTGTTGAAGATGTCAACGGGGAGAAATTTAACAGAAATTTTTTCCATAGGCAAAATATGGATTTGGTAAAGGATACTCATGGGTCAGAAGGTTACATTTAGTGCTGTTTGAATTGAGAATAACTGATTTATTACACAACTAATCCCAGGACAAGTGCAATTGCACTGGGTGGCAGAATTTAGCGAAGCAAAATTTTTAGAATTTAGAAAAGCACCAAGTAACAAAATTTAAGAATAACAAAATCTTAAGCATTTAAGGAAGACATTAGGACACAAAATTTAGAGGAGACAAAATTAAAAAAAAAAAAAAAAAAAAAAATTAGAATTAAGAAGGCACTTGGCAGCAAAATTTTGCATCTGCAGAGACTACACCGGGCTACAGAATGTCTAAGTACAGGACTTGGAAAAACCTTAAGTATATGTGGGAATTAATTTATTCAGGACTCAGTTAAGATGTGCAGTAAATACTCGTTAAATATAATAAATAATTAAACTAATATGATTCTCGTTTAACTCTGTAAGCATGTGATAGAAGCAAGGCAAAATTTAATGGAACTAGTCTTTAGTTGCCAGTCTCATGATACATTGCGAATCTGAAGGTATTCAGATATTACAAACAAAAAGTGAAATTTTCTAATTAATGGAATTTGTGAAGGAATGTGAAGAATTAATAAATGAAGATGGCATAGCATAACTTTTTCATTGTGATGAAAATTCATTCAGAACTTAATTCATGCCTCAGTTATCAATTAACTAACAGACAGCAAAATCTGTAGTATGGTTCTAAATCCAAATTGCTAACAATGGTGATGAAAGTGACAGAGAGGTTGTTGAGAACAAAAAAATTTTAACTGATGTTTTAGTGGGAATTCTCGATGCGGCAGTTACAGGACTTGAACCGTGGAATTTGGTAACTGAAGAAATTATATCTATCTATAGAATTAAAGATGATGCTAACAAAGCAAAGTAAAGAATTTACATTGAAGGAAATGTTTAAAGTAAAAAAATAAACATTGAGCTTTTTGGGGGAGATAAATTTTGATTCCATTAAGCCATAAATGCTTCATTATTTCATAAATCACAATTTCTTACTTTTAATTTTATAATTTCTACTTGGCATTGTACTAGATTAAAGATGATGATATAATATCCTGAAAAATCCCAAATCTAGAATCACCAAAGTCCTGAAAAGTCTGGTTCTAGGATTTTGCACTATAGTTACCAATTTTAGGACAGAAAAGGGGGTACCCAAATTAAAATGAAGAATAAAAGGGACTATTGCCAATTAAAATTAGAAGTTTGCTTCATAATTTTTCTCTTATGTGTGTAATATTACTGTAAATTTTGATGTAGAGATGTTGATTGCGTAGGTACTGAGATGTTGACCGATAATGAAGTGCAAACTTGGTAGGTGAGACAGATTAAATACTACTGCTTTTTATTTCAATTAACTTTTGTGTCCACAAATACTTATCACATCAATAGTACTTATTCCAGGACAGTTACATTTTTTATGTTGTTTTGTGGAAGAAAGGAAAGCAGCAAGCAGCAGTCTTTGCAGCAACAGAGATAGAAACAAAAATTGGATAGATAGAAGCCTTATGTTCAGGTTAAAATCTTAATTCAGAATGTGTTAGTTTTGATTTCAAAGCAATTGATTAGATAGTTAATATTGCTGTAAAATTATTATTGGTTGTTTGAGTTTTAGTTTCGTTTATATCACCAGTATTATGTGAAAATAATATGATGTGGAACAGTCTCAAAATGATGCAGTTCAGAAAAAGTTGTAGTACTATTTTCAGAACACAAGAGGAAATACCCAAATTAAAATTAACCATTAAAGGGGCTAATTTAAATTACAATTTGTATTTACATATTTTTTATCTAATGTGCAATTGGACAGTATATGTATTGTCTTAAAATCGATTTGTAAGCATGTGCTTATGAGATTTGCCTGTAATGGAAGAAATTGTAATCATATTTCTGCAGAATAGAATATTTTATCATGATATCACTGAAAAGAGCAGTTATTTTGAATCTATTCTTAAAGCAATTACCATGAAATTTCCACAAAACAAAATTACCAGTAATTCACTTATAAATAGCTTTATTCATTGATTTTTAGAATAAATATCTAATTAAAATGCAAAATAGATGTGTTATGATATGTATGAATATAATGAATAATTTTTCTGCAATTATGTCATTCCCTCTCCCTCCCTGTTGTAAAAAATTGCCATATTATATTAAGGTGGTTGTGCAGATATATAAGCACCAAATAATTTTATGTTACAGACAGTTTTTAAGTCCTCACAACTAAATGAGTTGATTCCAGTTATATTAGTTTAATATACAGTAAAATTCCAGTCAGCCAAGCTTATCCAAAAGTCTGCTTTAATGAAATGGTGGAGGAAAATAATGTTTAATATGAGATCAAACCAGTCGACCTTTAGATGTGGGTGTTTTCCCCCTCGTTACTTCATTCTTTAGAAATAAATGCATATTTTATAATGCAAGCAAGCATTATCATAATACTTTCTGTAAAAATAGTAATTGTGAATTAAACCTTTCTCCAGGAGTATCTCTATTGATTGATTATGTCAATTAAAATTAACATTTTTTTTCAGCATGGCATTGAGAGCTGACTACCATTCTTGTTCTTTCATTCATATGCCTCGTACAGATCAATCTTTGCAATAATTTTAATCAGTTGCTCATATAAAAGGATGATTGTCTTACTTTGTCATACTTTTTACTGTGGAGGCATATATAAATTTTATTTTCAGTATTGTTCAATTTTATATAAATCAAAATTTTAAATAGTGTTTAAGAATAAAAAAATAGTTAAAATGCATTGAAATGTGATTTACATGGCCTTTAATAGGTAAACATAATTTTACATTACTTTTTATCATGAGTGAAGAAAATCTGAATCATAAAAATGTATGTAAGGCTAAAAAATCACGGTAGTGACTTCAAAACAATCATATCAATTGATTTAAAACTAATGAATTATGAAGAGATGATTAATAATCATGAAGATAACTTTTACTTAAATATACATTGCCACATCTTGAAAAGCGATGAGAAAGTTTATTATTATAAAGGCTTTACGTGAAACTAAACCAAGTGCTGAGACATTTCTAAAGGAACTGAACATTTTTAAAAATATTTGATGGTAGTATGCTTGGTGAACAAATGAAATGCACTAATAAACACAATAAATGTATGTATTCACCTTATTGAATATGCCATTTTTATAAAATGTTAATGATGAAAACAGTTGTTCTCTTGTAATAAATCACTTATATAAAATCAATTATATTATGTTTTTATATACATAGAAAATTGGTAATTTTTATTAATTAACTAAACTCACAAATGGCATACAGTATTACAGTGTTGTGAAATTTGCTATGCATGAGAATTTGGGGGACAAATCTTAGTACACATTATAGAAGAATAATTTAGAGTAATTGATTTTTTTTTAATTGATGGGAAATTTTGTGACATGACTATTTTGTGTAATGAGTACTCATTCTTTCATATAATTTACTCTATTTCTAATGAGTGTCACTTAACTTTTTATACTGAATAATTGTATGAATATTTTATTGAACAATGTATGAAATATATGCTCATTATAAATTGATATTATACTGTAATTGATGTGCTTTTTTACTTCTGAAGCTATAATACCTTTAAAAACATTTCATTCTTAGCTTTTAATTGATTTTAGGAGACAAAATATTCTGAAAGGAAACTTCTTTCTACTTCTAATAACATTTCAAAAATAAATAGGTTAGTCATTATTATTTTCTCCACTTTTATTATTTTTATTGTTTACTCATAAAATGCATTCATATATTTACTCAATGGCTGTGTCAAAATTTCTTAGATCTGCAGCATGCCTGTTTGCTCACAAATTTGGGTTAATGTTATCAAAGACAGTTTATACTTGCTTTTGAAATGTATATATATATTTCATATGTCATTGAGTGACTAAGTTATAGGCTGAGGCGGGTTTAGTGGTTGCAGCTCATGGGGGCCCTGAGATGTGAAGGGGCTGATCTACGTACATTTGTGTGGAAATGCAAGCTTTTTCTAATACACAATGATAAATCAATTAAAATTATGTACTAAGCTCAATATTCCCCCCCCCAAATGGCAGGCACTTGCCTATTCAGCATTGGCAACTCATAAGGCAAGAAATAGTGGCTATTTTATTATGGAGGCACCTAATAGGTGGTCACTGTTGTCTCCTATGAAGGGACGGGCAGTTAAACCATGCCTTATCTGTGATTTGAATCTGGGCACGTCAGTACCACAGTAGGTTTCCCTAACCATCATGCCGTCGGGGCAGCATTAACTCAATGTAATAAATAATATATCTATCAATCAATTTTACTTTGAAGTAACAAATTTGTAGGGGGGAACTATGCAATTTTGAATTTAGTCACATTCTTCCATCGACTTATTGTTTTTCTGATATTAGAAATTATGGTTTGAAATCTCCTGAAAACACCACTTGTAGTTCTTTTGCTCTGCCATAGAAGTGCTTAATTTGTTCATTTCCCAAGAAATAATGGGCAGTTTCTGATGTGATTATGAAAGGTCTCAGTGATGCTATCAAAGATTTTGTTTGGCCAATTAAATAACCCCTCACCCAATAAAGTTTTTTTTTAAAAATTATATTTTGGGATATATGGGCTCGCCAACGAGGTTCCCTTTAAAGTTATATTTTCTATAGTAGGATTGTATAAAATATTAGCACCATTCCAGAAATAAAAATTGCAAGCATTTTTCTAATATATTTTGTGCATTAGCAATTTTCCATAACTTTTCCTTATTTACGACACTGGCGGTGACACCAAGCCCTCTCCTGCTCTTCCAAAAAAGGGCAGTTAGGCATTAATGTATTCCAGACCAGTAGAAAGGATAGCAGTGCTATTGGGTGTCTACTTAACAGTGAACTGCCCATGAGCCAAGTTATCATGGCTTGGTAATAAACAGTTTTGATTTTGAGAATTTAAAATAGAAAAATACTATTTAAGTAAGAAATTATGCCTATTTTCATTAATTTTCACTTATCCTTCTTATACAGAGATCTTCAGCCGTTGCCCTTTACCTGAAATAACCTTTCATTTCATGCGTGAAGTCAGAATGCAATTTGTGATAGGTAATATGCAGATTTGCAGTAAATGTTCAAAAGATGTAATCCAAAAATTTTTTCAGAGCCTGTCTTAATTTCAAGACCTTATGCAAATGCAAGTATTGCAGGACTCCTAAATCAGCCCTGCGTACAGGTGCAGATTGAAGCAAAGCCAGCACCTGCGCCCTCCCATAGATATGTATTTGGTATCGTCAGGGCTTTCTAACTATTCAGCTTCTGTCTCAATTTTGGAACAGAATGCACCAGAAGGGCTTCCAAGGGTCTCTTAACCCTCGAGAGGACTTTTGGTTTGATGCATATTTTGAGTATCCCTTTACCACACAGATACTATGCACATACAAACATTCATGCATTTTCTAGGATTTGAACCCAGGGCCATTGGTATGGCAGTCATATACATACAATTGACCTGCATATGAAACTAAATGACATAGTTTTATTCTTATTAAATTATAATGATGGTATTCAATTCTTTATTTCTTGCAGTGTTAAAAAACACAAAAAATTCTAACATATGCATTCTAATAAGCTAAGTGTAAAGTCCATTCATCTATTTTTTCCATCTGATAAAACCCTTATCAATCACGTCTATGGGTTGTTTCATAGCACTTTTAAGAAGATGAGTGCTAATATATAGTTGGACAGTAAGATGCATTATTTCTGTAATATAATGGCATTTTACTACACAAGCATGCATACAGTAAGAATATATCATGATTGTAATATTGTTCATGGCCTTAGATGTGATAGCTGTAAGTAGTTTTCTTTTAATATATAAAAGTATTTTTGAACCTCTGAAATCGATGGAAAATTATTTGTAATCACTTGTTAATGCATTTCTTTTTTTAACCATACTTTAGTGGTAAGCTACTTATTAAATGACGAAAGTGGATGTAATATTTTTTAAGAGAAAATAAATATTTTCATGATTTTTCTATTAGTTTGCATTTTAATAAACTGCTGAAAATTCAGAATTTTTGCAAAACCTTCTAAATTAACATATTGTACATTTGTACGATTTTAATATGTTTTTCCTATATAAAATTATATTGTTATTTTTATTTTTTTACTTATTTATTTTGCATGCATGACGTAGATACATGTTAACAATTCTGATTATAAAAATATAAATTTGGATATTTTTATGGGATTGCATGTTATACAGGCCAAAAAAATTAGCTTATGATAAATATCAGGTGTAGACTTATAAAATAGAGTACAAAATATTAGATTGTAATGTTTTCCACTTCAAATTAAAAATATATTATTCAGTTATTAAATGGGCAACCCTTACAAAAATATCAGCAACAGGATGATTAAATCACGAAAAATCTTGTTGCAAAATACCTTCACTTGCATTACGAGATAACCCTACTGTTATGTACACTGTTAATATGAATGTTCTGATTTAATAGTTTATCATTATTAAATGAAAGCAATGTATTAACATTTCAATCATTAATAGTATATTCTACTATTTTTAAAGGCAGCAGCAAAATTAGCAGTTGTTGACAGATTACAGATATGTGCTTTCTCTGTGTCATCAATTGATTTTGAGCAAATGTACCCAAATATTCCTTAGAACATAAATAATGGTCAGTTTCTTTGTGTGAATATAATCAACCATTGTTTAATTTTACATGTAAAGTTTTGAAAATGTATTTTTTACAAAAGATCTTGAACCTTAAACATAATCATTTCTGAATGATTACAGGAAACAGAGCATGAAGATAATTATTGAAAAAAATAATATCAACTATTAAATTATTAAGGTTAGTACTTAGAGGCCATGGTGAAAGTTCAGATCTCAGGCAAAACTCTTTCACATGCTTTGGAATGTCTCAGTGAATAGGACATTTATTTTTTTTTAAGCTGCATTAAAAAATATGGTAATTGAGGATGAAGAAGAGTTATTTATTTATCATGTGATATCTATAAGGAATTCATCAGAATTATTAATAAATATTTAATAGCATATATAATAAGAAATTAAATCAGCAATTTTCTGCAACCTTATCTTTGATGTTACACCTGATATTTCCATCACTGATCATTTGGCATTAATTACAATGTAAATATTGTCAAGTGGCAATGTAAAAGAAGGGTTTTTAGGGTTTATGCCAATTGAAAAACATATAGAATCATATTTTGAACTATAGATATTATCTGCTTTTGCAAAACTAGGTATAGACATTAAAATTTGTTGAGCAAAGTTATGACAGTGCAGAAAACCTATCAGGAAAATGCATCAGGATTGCAGGCTTGTATTAAGTATTTTAGTCCAAGAGCAGTCTAAATGTAGATCTTGTGATAATCTTTCTTCCAAATTAATGGGTTGTTTTGCAGCAGAAATATTTATTGCCACTGTTCAATATTTTATGTTTATGCAAGAGTTATTTGCATTTTTCTCTGTAACCCTTCATTGCTGGCAAACTTTGAGCACAAATCTGACAAAATGTGAAAATAATTTAATGGTAAAATTATCTGATGTTAGATAGTCAGCAAGAGCCGCACTGCCATTATAGGTTGGTTATAACTATATAAAAGAAGCCTTACCTGATATTTGTGCTTCAAGTTCGGAAAAAAAAGCAACTGTAGTGGAGGTTATACCTTTATTAAAAAAAAAATAATAATGCTGATAGGAAATTATGTTTATGGACTTGGAGCATCATTTAACAGAATAACTTGGAGTATCAATAACTTGGAGCATCATTTAACAGAAAATAAATGTACCAGCAAATCTTTACCAACATCCGAGTTCACCATGTTTAAAGAAGTTGATTTATTAAAATTTTTTGTGAAGTTTTATTAGATTCATGAATTTTTTAGTGTAGAAAAAGAGGCCATTGCAATGGCATCTTTGAAATTTAAAGAACAAAATAGCAGGCTACAAAAAAGGGAAAACGACACAATTTTTTTTTCATAAAAAATAATGAAGGATCTAAATTGCTTTCAATGTGTGAGAATTATCTAATTCTTTTAATATTATTTGTGACATTATAATAACAGAACTTGCCAAATGGTAGGATCTGTCTTTGTTCCTTCTTAAAAATTTAGCAAAGTCAAAATTTCACACAGATAGCATGATTGATTAAAAAAAAAAGAGTCACAATATCTGAAACAATTAATAGTATCACTGATGCACTTATGCACATTTTGACTCTTGCCTTAATAACAAAAAAATCTAGATTTTTTCCCTCTTTTTGTAAAACTAAGTTTTAACTTTACATCTTTATGCCATTATTTAAACATTTGCTTTATTTTAAGATTAATATATTTGCTAGATTAATTTCATTAAATAAAACATATTTTTTGATAGAGTGAATCAAAAGATGTTGAAAAATAGTAATGAAAAATAAAAAAAAAAACAGGGAGAGACAGCAAATTTATTGAAGTGGGAATTAACATCACAGTGATTTTCGCAAAATCAATCAATTATTTTAATGAGTGAAACACATTTAAAGATAATGCTTTCTGTGCGAATTTATAAGCTCAGCTTCCTTAAAAGTGCATAAAGAATGAAATATTGTCTTCAATGAGTTTTGAATGATAAACATTTTATTTTTATTTATTTAGACTTTGCGACATCTTAATGCTGAAAAGAGAGAAAATTATGGAAGTTTTGGTGATAAGTTGCTTAAAACGCGAAATGTATGGTATGGTTTGTAAATTGTGCAAGTAAGTATGTGGTTTCATATTGAACTTTATAAATTTCTAGAAATAATCTGTTCTCTTTCTTTGTAGTTTTATTTCATTTCATATATCATTTGAAATTTCAAATTGTTATACTGAATGTGTATGATTATACTAATGGTACTCATAGACATGTAGAGAAAGTTCTTATCAACTGATGTGAACCAAATTTGGTATGCATGAATTGTAATTAAAATAAATGAAATTTTATTATAAGAATAAAATTACAAAGTTATGTACTCATTGTGAGATCCTGCATTGTTTACCACATTTTGGAATTATAAGTTCAAGTTATTAACTTCTGCATATAGCATTTCAGGAGTTCAGAAATATATCATTATGTGCTATCCTTCAGCTGTGCCACAGAAGCACCCAATTCTGTTAAAACATGATCTGTCAATAAATCCTAGAACCAGAAGTCACAGGGATGGAGTTGTGGTGATAGAGTTTCTTTGCATATGCTGAGCTCCCTGAAAGCAAATGAGTGCTATCTGATATAAGTTAATCTGATGTGAATATAATTTCACATCTCCATCTTGCCTTAGAAAGGTACTTTCCAGATAGGAAAGATCCTGTTTTTGTAGATTTGTAATAATGGGCTGTTCCAGGAGTCAACTATAATGTTTACATGCTTACAAGAGCTTTTTGTGTAATCTTGAATGATCCAACAGTTGAAAGTGACAATATGTGCTGAATGTAATATTAATTTCATGTAAGAATTGTTGTTAAATTGCCTAATGATGCACTAAGTCACATGTTCACCTGAGCTGAATACAGGGTTCGTACGGTCCTTAAGAGTCCTTAAAAATCCTTAGATTTTTTGGAATCGATTTTTGGTCCTTAATTTTGGCTAAAATCAGCAGAAGGTCCTTAACTTTTAATCATCTGAAATTTCTGTCTGTTTTTAAGACTCATTTTGAGTGTGAATAAGCGTTTTGAGGGAATATTTTTGGCGATTCACTGCCGTATGTATGGTTATCTTTTGAATGGGTTCATAAGTATAATTTGTTTTTATTTGTAATATAAATGATGGGATACTCGAGTTTCTAAGTAAGAAGTGAATATAAACATTTCGAAATTCACTTTTTCTAATAAAGAGCTCTTAAACAACTTTTTGCTTTTGGAGATGTGAATTCTTTTATTAAATAGTCCTAAATTTGGTGACTTATCAACGTTTTGACGATTTTAAGATCAGTTTCTATAGAAAATTTTTAATTCCGAGATCTGAGAATTTTTGGACGATTTTTTTAAAACATCCTAACTTTAATAAATTTCATTAAAATAATGGTAATATATTGAAATTATATTTAAAAAGTAACATTAAAGTAAAACATTTTTAATTTTCACTGTCATATTAAAAAGTTTCATTTTGGCAACTTATTATACAATATTTTGACTCTGCAAAATAAAGAAGGTATAATGCTATAAAGCACAATTTACGAAATGGCTCTTAGCAAAAGCAAAATTAGCTGTGTAATTAGTTAAAAATATCTTCTTTTTAATTTTTTCATAGTAAAAGTTTTTCCCATGTAATTGTCTCAGAATATTCAAAATTCTCAGAATTTTCTATATAAAATTAACTTTACACTTTTTCCCTCCTTTTTTTTCCAAAATATTTCTGGCTTTTTGCTGTTACTGAGTTGGTAGGGATAATATTTCTTTAGTATTTTAGACACTGCATCTTGGAAAGTTTAGAAGGATTTGAAGGCAAGATTTATAGACCCACGATTCTAGAAGTATACGATTCGAGAAATATGAGACAAAATGAGAAATGTCTCCATTGTATCAACATGTAATGGATGTATTTTACTGAAAGTTTTCGATGAATTTCTTACTTTTTGGAGAACGTCTGGAAGAACAATGAAAACATAATATTTGAATGTTTTACTCCTGATACTGGAATCATTTTCGTAACATGTTTATCTTCCCTTTATTTTCTCTACTTTTCACTGACACAAGCATGGAAAATATCAAAAATGCTTCTAATCTTGTCACGTGGGCAGGCATTATAGAAAGGGATTTTTTTTATTAATAAAAAAATTGAAAAAGATCTATCTAATATGTTTTAATGCATTATACACAGAGCTATGCATCATACACATTTTCCCATTTGATGCAATCTCTGTGGATCCTAAATTCGACTGCATAGTGCCTTTCTAAATTCTGCTTCCAATGCCTGTCTAAATTCTAAAAGTTTTGCCATTTCTAGATTTTGTTGTTTGGTGTGTTACTAAATTCTAAAAATTCTGCCACAACGGCTCTGTAACCGGCCTTTACTATATATATTTCTTCTGAATTTTCATATTAATAAAGAAATAAAATAAGCCGTTTTCTAAATGCATTTCATGTTTTTTAGAATAACGGAAATCTTTAATTAAATCCCAAAATTCTAAAATGAAAAGGAAACGTGTTGAAGAAAGTACAAATAATAAATACAAAAAAACATGCAGTTATTATTATGTAAATTACCCAATTGTCTTTGATTTCAGCCTTTACTATAATTTCCCATTTCTGTTTCCTCATATGATAGAGCTACTGAGGCAGATTAAATTAAAATTAAATTGTATAATCTTTGACCACTAGTCCTTATTACATCACCGTGAGCTGTAATGATTTTGTTAGCATCAGAACATGCCTTTGTATTCTAATTCTTTTTATAAAAAGGCCTTTTATTTAAACCTTTGTCTGATTTTTGTTATTTTCAGACATAGCGATAGTTTGCTTCATATCAGTTGGGGATTTTCGACTATTTAACTTTTACCACATCAAGTAAACCCGCATAGGTACATTGTGGAGAGGTTGACGAGTTAGGAGATAAAGCAATTATGTTGATGCAGAAACTAGCAAGAGCATTGGCTTGCATTTTGAGACAAATCTCTAATTGTTAGAAAAGATGCTTAAAGAGAAGAAAATTGATATGAACTAGCCAAAATGTTTAGGAAAGCTTCAAATTAAAATGACAGATAAATATTTTATTGAGTGTTGTTGTTACAAAACATAAATGTTTTGTAGCTTTTAATGTGTAATTATCCTAATATCGTTTAAGAATCAATTTTATAAATTACATGTATTTTAAACTGTGAAATTTGATTAGATTTTGATTTTAAGAGATTTTTTTAACAAATATTGTTAAAAAATAAATTTTAATTGTGGCCTTGTAAATCCATAATGACTAAGGTTATCTAATTACCTAATTTAATTATTTATAACTAACTGCTTACCCTTAAAAATTATCTCTATGTGTTAAAGCGAGTTATTGCCTTTCATTAATACACTGTGGTCGCAAGATAAACACAAAAATGTAAAATTCAAGTAAAACTTATTCTTTGCATCTAGTGAGACTTAAAAAAATAATACAACAAACTTAAACCTCTGGTGCTTTAATGGCTTATTGGAACCTTAAAGTATATTAACTGGGTTACAGCCCCTGAAACTCTACACGAAGCTACGACACTAACTGCATCAAACAGAGCCCGACTAACTTTCAATACTTGTGAACCTACATAAGGCCTTTCAGGTTTGTTCTAATGAGCAGGTCTTTCTCTAGACAAGCAGCATCAGTAATAGCATTCAGTCTTTTGTTCTGAATCATGCTGATTATGATCTTACTTTTCATTTTAACCTATGCCGTTTGACATAAAAATCTACCTGCTATTTACTCAACCTCTAGACTGACCAAGCACGTGACAAAATGAGATATTTAAAAAATTCAACACAAAGCTAACTGTGAGTAAAATGTAAATGTCACTTATCTTCTTTCAAATATGTCCATCTGTTATAAGTGTAAAATATTTAATGCTACTTAATACATTTCATAAAGTTTATTTTATTCTCAAACTTATTAATAATTATGTTAATTAATTCATGTTTAGTAATAATGCAGACTACTTAGAGATCTATTTTATTTTTAGGTATACAAAATATTTATGGTATTACAAAAATAAAATTCAGGTGTAGATAATATTTTTAATTGAATTTATTCAGTTCCCATTTGCTCATAGGTCCTTAATTTTTTTCATTAATGGTCCTTAAAAGTCCTTAAAAGTTCTTAATTTCCATGTGCAGAAATGTGTACGAACCCTGGAATAAACCTCATATGTTCTCAGGCTATCTGATGTCCACCTGTCTTCTATTTTATCTGGATTCTCTGGAGATATCAGTTGTTAGATAATTTTAATTTTGTAGGGATAGAACTTTAAAAATTGTTTGCAAAAATCTTATGTATAAATCAAGAAACAGACAATTCTGCACCACTGCTTAAGCATTTGCAGCGCTAGCAGCTTTGTCAGGCACTACAATATTGACTTTATTAATAACAATCACTTTATTTGGACATTATCCTTTCCTGGAGACATACTAAGGTCACCATTTGCTTCAAATATTTAACCGTGTTTTTCTGCAGAATTTATTATCATGGATTCTTTCCTCAAAATTTTTGTATGAGAATATGTTTAGAATGTGGCTTCAACATTACTGTCATTCTAATAGAGAATTTTAACTAAAATTCCATGTTTCTTCTGGAATCACTCTTGTTTGGACATGATGGACTCTTGTTTGGACTTGTTTGGAAATTATTTCTGACAATGACCAGTGTTGATTTTTCTGGATAAAAAAAAGTTTCACCTAATTTGCTTAATCTGGTGACATACTTTTAACTACATTTTCCTCCCTTAATCTGAATAGGTTGTACATTAAATTTCATTCTATCAGGTTTTAACGAAAGTTTCCCGCCACTCCAAATATCGTTTGTACAAACAGTTTGCATTGGCATGTTTAATCATATTTTGTTAAATGATTTTTGGCATTTGAAAGAAACAGACTTGATTTAGAACACTTTGTGGTGAAATTTGTAAGAAAGTATTGTTCTCATTAAGTACATGGTGCTGAAATGGAACTATCATGCTACCAGATTAGAACCATCACGTCCTTACAGTTCTGTTGTAAAATGTCAGCTACAGAATCATGTATACCGCTTTAGGTACTAATGTTGTATCATATGACACTGAAGGTTTGGTACCGAAAGTTCAAAAACAAGGATTATAACATTCAAGGAGCAGAGCACTCTAGCCGGCCTACTAATGTTGATGAAGCCCATG